CTCTCTCTCTCTCTCTCTCTCTCTCTCTCTCTCTCTCTCTCTCTCTCTCTCTCTCTCTCTCTCTCTCTCTCTCTCATACACGCGCACGCGCACGCGCACACACTCAAGTGCACACCCCTTCCAGAGCGCTCCCACTGCCCCCGAACACACAAGAGTACACACACACACCCAACACACACACACGCCCGCACGCAGGCAGACACACACGCACCCGCACGCACGAACGCGCGCGCGCCCGCAAACACACGCACGCACAGATGCCCACACACCCACACGCACAGATGCCCGCACACCCGCGTGCACACACGCAACCGCACGCACAGATGCCCGCACACACGCACACGCACACGCACACGCACGCACACGCACGCACACGCCCGCGAAGACGCGCACACACACACACACACACACACGCTCTTTCTAGCACAGGTGCCCCTAAACTCGCTTCATAGTATATTCTTCCCCCTTACGTGCGGAACAGCCCTCGGACGAGGGGACAAAGATGTGAGGTGGTCGGATGCCCTCTCTTCTCTCTCCTAGGTTTCTTGCCCGTACATATGAAATGAAAGCAGACCAATCAAGTGAGATGATCAGTCGTTCACACGCGACTTCGCATCCGGCGTCCTCGAACGGACTAACGATGGCCCAGTGGGCTTGCACGCACGTGGTCTCGCGAGCTGCGAGACGCCCTTCTCATCGGGTACTGTCCTCCCGTCGTCTACCATCGGCGTTCTTTCCTCCTCTCCCTCTCGCTCGGTCCGTCGCTCCTTTTCGTATAAATATAGACATCACATCACAGCACAGCACAGCACATCACAGCACTTTGACCAGGCTCGCAGGCCCCCAACGCTTACGAACTCCACCGCTTTGCACCCGCGCTATGCCTTCGCAGCCATAAGGCTGGGGCACAGTGGGTTGCCGCGTCTCTATCCAGGTGGCGTGAATTTTTGTGCCGGGGTATAATGGGGACGGAAGTTGTGTAGTACTTCGTTCTTTGTTTTTGTTTTTTTCACCCACCAGTACCCGCCCAGCTATTGATGCCGAGCCTAAATTCTCCCTGAGCGCCAAAAGACGAGCAGGCCCGGGCCTCATTTTGGCTGGCGCTGCCAACCATTTTAATTAATCCCACCGAACCCCCCCAAAAATGCGGTCACGAGCATATCTTGAAGGACCCGTCCCCCAAATTTTTCCCCTCCCTAAGAACCCATTTGCATCGTGGTCGCCTGCCGCCAAAAATGCGGCACCTTGACATTGACTTACCGTAAGGGCACGGGTGCGCAGCCCGTAGTATGTATATGCTTGATTGGTGAAGGAGGTGTGTTTGTGTGTATCAGATATGTTAGTGTTGGAATGTGTGGGATTTAGGTAATTTTTATGGTATGAAACCAGTAGTACTTGGGTCATACGTGGGTTTTGGGCCTTCCCTGTTAATGTGTCGTAGCCTTCGGGGGTCGACGAAGGGAAGGTCTGGTCGTTGCAGAATGGGTGGGCTCCGTGCTTATAGGCGTGACATACATGGTTGTGAAAAACGGAGAGGGTAAAAAAAAAGGAATTCAAATGTGAAAAATTATTGAAAAAATGAAAAAACAGTCAAAAACAAAAGATGAGTATGGGGGGGGGGGGAAGGGGGGGGGGGAAGAGAGAGAGAGAGAGAGAGAGAGAGAGAGAGAGATGAAACATGAGTGTGGTATTAATGTATTAGATATTTTACGTACCTTGATTCTTAGTTGATGTTGAGGTTGGTGGTCCTTGAATCTTGATCCATATGTCGTATATGTGTGTGCTTTGAGTGTTTATTGTTGTAAGTTGTTTTCTTATTAAATAAATGTTTTGTTGTCAATTAATGAATTGATTATATTTGACAAAGTAGTTGTGGTGGAGAGGTGGTTTTAGTGTGTAGGTGTGGTGTGATTTCATTGAGGGTGCAAAGGCAAAGTTCGTTATGTATGAATGCCCTATATAGAGACATTATCTATTTGGGAGAAATCATTATTATGTGAAAGTGGGTTAGGTAGCATAAGATGTCGAAGCATGACGAGGATAAAACCCCCACAATCTTGTAATTAGTTTGTTGAGGGACTTGTAAGATTGTAGTAGGTGCATTTTATAGTAGGTGTAAACAATTTGTACGAGTGGATCGTCATTGTTTGATGTTTGAGAAAAATGTTGTATTAGTAGTTGAAAGACTGTCATAATAATATATAGATTGTGTTTCGAGGTTTATGCATCCAAGTGTCCAATAAGTATTCTTTATTTTTATTAGAATTAAGAAATGAGTAAGAATTACGAACGGTCGAATTTTATTTCTTCTTTTAATTTGTCGATCAACATAGGGATTTTTTTTTTTTATATACCTTGGGTGTATGTGAATGTGTTTGCGATGAAGATAGTTGTGGTTTTATCCATTATTAGTTCAGCATAACTATTTATGGGTATATCAGTGAGTCGAAAATGATCATATAAAGTTATGTATAAACGTGATTTGGAATCGATTGGGATTGGAATAATGTTTTCATCATCATAATTTTCATTTGATTATTCAATAATAGATAGAGTTGGGGTGTGAAAGATTAATTGTGTAATTTTAGAATGTGATGTTGATGATTTGATATGTGTTGTGTTTATGTTTTTTAAAGAGGAATTTATGTATAAACATTCGTTTGTGTTGTTTGTAAATGGTATACGTCTGGATCATCTAACAAACAAATGAAATTAGGCATGGTGATTTTGTCTTGAATTATTTTATGAATGATTGGTTGTTTTGGTTTTATTTGGGTTGTTGTTGTTGGTTGTTGTAGTGATATTGTGTTTGATTTGATATTTTTTTTATTTGTGTTTGATGTTAAAAGAATATGTTGGAACATGTTTTGTATGAATTGGGATTTGAATAATTTTTGTTCAATGTTTGTAAACCTGTCATCTTTTCGTAATAAATTTTCATCAAGTTTGAAAAATTTTGTAAGTAATTTTGTTAATCATTTGAGGGTTGTGAAAGCATAGCGATTTATCACGCGAGATACTGCAATGTATCCTTGTTGGGGGACGTTTTTTTTCTTTTTTCTATATGTTGATAAAGCTTTCCAATATGCAAGAACCATTGAGGTTAGGGTTTCTCCGTGCACTTTATACAGTGTGGAAGCGATTGCATAAATGAATGAGAATTGTTTTGGATATAATGTGCATGTTCGTTGTGGTGAAAATGAAATGCGTTGTGATGTTACTTGTACTGAACGTCTTGAACGTTCAAAAAAAACTGGGTAAATGTCTTTAGGTAGTTTAGTTTTTGATGCATATGAGAATAATTAAAATTCAGTTCTATTTGGTATGCGAGCCAATGCAAGTTGAGGAGGTTGATTTGGAAAAAACACATGAATAGAGACTGCATTATCATGAATAAGTCGAAATTGTGGTTTTGGATGAAATTGTAAGGACTGGAAAATTCCAAATGTGTCGTTGGCAATGCCTCTGTTCGGGTCAATGTTTTGTGTAAATACAATTGACATGTCTAAGATAAGTTCTAAAAATAGTGCATAGCGTCCTCACATGTTGTCTGGCAGGGACATTTGGAAACGAATATCGTCTTTATTTTTATTTTTGAATGTTTTGCCGAAATCTTCTATAATATGTATCGGATAATGATTTTGAGGTAATTGTTTGGCAAGTGCTTGTGCATATGAATGAATTATGTTTGTTCGTGTGTTGTTATCTGGTGTGGCACATATGAGTGTTTTGTTAACGTTTATTGATTTTGATAGTTGAGCAGTTTATTGTGGTTCAGAGAAATGTATTATCTCAATAAAATCATCAGTCCAAATGTTTTTGCGAGTTTTGAAACATCCTTCTCCCCAAGGGGGATTTGATATAAAGCGACATTTTCATCTAAAATAATGATTGTTTTAAAAAGTCGGTAAAGTTTGAATCCTAAGTCATCAAATGTAGGAGATGTTTGTCATTTTTTTTGTTCTTCGTATAATGGTGTTCCCATAAGTGGTGGCATTTGAAACCAATCGCCTGACAGAATAATATGTAATCCTCCGAATGACAAATCTATTTTTCTTTCTGCTCGTAATGCTATATATAGCTTGACCGCTTGTTCTTTGTTCATCATACTAATTTTGTCGATTATAAGTAGTTGAAGTTATGAAGAAAAACCTGAAATTCCTTTAAAATTTGCACCTCGTTGTCCGAAGGCATGTTCTTTTTCAAAGTATGCATGCCGATCCAAGTATGAATTGTGGTTCGATAAATTCCGACGGCTGCTTTTCCTGTAAGAGTTGTTTTTGCAACTGCTTTTGGTCTTTGCAAAACATTGCAAAAAACTTGGATGGTTGCAATAACGTGTGACTTTCTTGTTTTTCATTCTCCTGTTAAAAACATTAAGAGTTTTTTTTTATTTTTATGTCATTTAATGTTATATGTTCTGGTTTATCATTATGCCCTACTTGTTTATTCCATGTTCTTAAAAGACTTGATGTTGCAAGAGCAAAAGTTATATGTTGTTTTTTTGTAAGTTGAAATTGTTTTGACATTTCTGATATTGTAGGCAAATTTTTATTGTTTTGATTTTTTTTTAAAAAATTGTTGTGGATATATCATGGTTGATGATTGTAAAGCATTTGTTAGTAATTTTACTCGAGTTAGTTGAGGTATATCGTACCAAGGATGATTTTCTGGATATTGTAATGAAGATTCATTAGTATTGGTAAGGTTATGAGTTTTTTGTCATGCTTGTAATGTTGAAATGTCGTTGAAAATTTAAGTTTTTAATATATTTGGTAAATGTTTGTTTTGTGGATTTATATTCATGTATGTTTTTGTTATTTTTTCTGCTATTTGAATCATGAGTGTTTGATATGGAGATGTTTTGTGTTTTCTAAATGGTTGTGGTGTAAGAATTATCGAGAAATGAATAGGATCGTTTATTGTTTTTGTTCAATTTTGTAAATCATTTATAAAATCTATGTTGTTTGGACTATGAAAGTAAAAATCATGATAATCTTCATTTGTAATGTTTTGTCCGTGTTTTTAAATTTTTGTCATTTATTGTTAGAGTGCTATCATCTTCTTGCATGGAATTTGTAGTGGCATAAGTTGGTCGATTTGTTTGGACTTCGGTTGCTCGTTTTTGTGTGATATAGTAATCTTGCATGTTGAGGTGTATAGAACGAACAAAAATAGACATGATACTATAATATTGAAGAAATTGTGTTTGTCAGTCACTATTGTTACATAATAAATCTTGAAGGTTGCGGAATGATTTAAATAATAGTAAAGTTAGTTGAGCATGACGAGTTAATTATTCTTGTGTTTTCCATGTTTCATAGAGTGAAATGCTAAATCCAGATAAAATATTTGATATTCATGGAATTCTATATCGACCGATACATTTTGATTTACATAATGGGTGATCTTTGGTGAACATTATATCAATGGGAGAAGATAAAATGCGATTTTTTCTAAAATAATGTGAAGTGAATGTATAGAGAGAAAGTGATGATAAAGAATGTGGACGAAATTTATAATCGTTTAAAGGATGAATGACGACATAAGCATCATTGTCGTATTCTATGATGTATTTTGTTTCTTTGTTTTCTAAAAGTTGTTTAAGCATTTGATTAAGGTTCAAAAAAGTGTAATCCTTGTCATTAAGTAACATCGAGCAAGTGTTAGTTTGTGGAATGAGGCTAAAACGTAGTGATGATCTTGTGCAAATTTTCTATGGCTAAGTAAGAAATAATGTTTGACACAAAGTTCTTTTGATACATGAATTTTTCGATCAATTTTTTTTGTAAAACCTCTACCAAATGGAAATAGGTGAGAAAATATTTTTGCATCTAACGTTGGATCAAATGCATTTGCAAATTTCGAAGAAGAATTAACTGAAAAAATAATTGTATCATTAATTTTTTTAATATGTTGGTGTATAATTTGTTGCTCTATAAAATCATCAATTGTTGCCGTTGAATGATTAAAAATTACTGATTTTTTATGTAATTTTTTTCATCAGAACAATATGTAGGAGCATTTATTGTGTCTTGTTTATTGTCTATATTTTTAGTTGTATGTCCATCGTTTATATGATCAATAATTGAAGCAGGGATAAAATCATCAGTTTGTATTGAAATTTCGTTAAAGATAGATTTATTGAGGTCTATATCATTATAAAAATGATTATTTGTTTTATAAAACGAAAGTAATTTGAGAACAACATGATGTCGTACAGCATGTCATTTTTTTATTTGTATAAATTCATCATTTGTAAAAGGTCCAGTTAAAATTATTCGGTAAATTGCATCTGTGTTAAGTTGGCGTGACAATAAAGTTGTTGGTGGTCCTGGAATAGCCTTAAAAAGTAATAAATGTGAACGAATAGCACGATGTAAGCCACCTTGCACAATTATTGTTTGTGCTAATATAGTGATGAGACTTGTCATTACTATTTCTGACTATGTTGGAAAAGGGATTGTAGATGGTAAACGACCAATAGAAAAATGATTAGCAATGACAAATTTTGGGAGTTGTGGTTGATTTTATTTTTCAAATAATGATATGTTGCAATGTACGCATATATCAAATGTGATATCTGTATCAGTGATTTTGATGCCTGCTCTTGAAAGAATGATACTTGTGAATGTTGGTGATATATTTGAGCAATCAGAGTATTGTTTTAAAGCTATTGGTAAGTTGTCTTCCAGACAATATACACATACTTGCATACGTTGCAATGTTTCACCATCTTCTGTAGAATAAGTGAATAAATCAGATTGTAGTTGAAATTTGTCGAATACACAACATATTCCTTCTGCTAAAGAAGTTGGATTTAATTTATTTATTAGTTCATCATGAATTTGTTGTTTTTCTCTTGTGTAATAGGTTGAAAACCTGAAAGGAAATATTTATTGTTAGATGGTTGTTGACGTGCGGGTGTTTTCAAACGTGTGTGTTTAATTGAAATTCCTTTTGGTTGTTGACGGGCGAGTGTTTTTTAACGTGTGTGGATAATTAAAATTCCTTTTTCGTTAGGTTTTTGTGTTTCTTCTTCTTTTCGTTCAAATAAATTTTCATATTTTTCATAATGTTATGTGTTTTTGTTATGATATGCAATTCTTTTTTTTTTTGAAATGTGTTGTTTATTATTGTGATATGTTTGACGTCGTTTTTCCAAATGTTTTTTTTCTTCATGTTGATTATTATTTGTAGCGGACCCACCAGGTGTGGTGCTCCGCTAGTGAGAGAGATGGAGATGGAGGAAGAAGGGGGAGCAAGATGGCACAACGCAGCTCCCCACGCAAGACTCCAACGCACGTACTCCAAAATGTGCAAGTGAGGAATGAGACTGAAAACAGACAATGGCTGGGGTATACCCCAGCGGACTGACGGGACTGGACTGGACAGGCTGGTATCGATAGAGGTACCGACCTGGACTGGCCTGCCCGAAATATAACACAGGCATGTGAGAACAGGCCAAGGGGATGGTCTCACAGGCCAACCCGAGGTTCGCTACAGGATCCTCGGCCTGTGATGGATCGCCTGGATACAAACATGCTTCTACCAAAGAAAAGAAAACCTGAGTAGTCTAGGATGCGGAGCAAGCTCCATGCTGAGTCCATGCGATGCAACCTAGGATATAAAATGTCACAAAACAGCAATGTCAGAGCTAACAGCCTAAGTGAAAGTAGGAGCAACTAACTAACATACATGTCCTAGGAAAACAAAAAGTAGTGACAACTAGATCCTAGAATGTTGGAGACACTAGCCTCAGTTTGGTAAAAACTGACTAGTGTATAAGTCCTAAGAACAGCAAAAGCAGAACAACTAAATCCTAGAAATGTCGGAGGCAGTAGCCTCAGTCTGAGAGTAACAAAGCAATCAACAAGACAACCATATGTCACATGAGAAGTGTGTCGCACACCAAAGGGTGGGATGGTCTCTGAGGGTGGCGAATGCA